ATCAGGCGTGTTGGAGTAAGGAAACTTGCCCAAGGTTTCGCCCTGCCGGGAATCGAACCCAGGTCTGTTGCTTGCGAGGCGAGTGCTCTAACCACTAAGCTATATTCTGTGAAGCGCAAAGAGACATCTTGACGATGTGATAAGGTGCATTATCAAATGCAAAGATTATTATTGTTATGTTTATACGAGCGCAGAACTCACAGCAGCTGTTGCCTCCAAGTAAAATGAAGAGGTAGGTGCTCCTTCTCATTTGAAGTAAACATCTGAGTTAATGGAAAAAAAATTATCCATCAAGAAATTTGGCACTAACTTCACGATATAACCCTGAATTCCAGCCTCTTCAGAGATCATTAAATCTATGACTTGGTGTGTCATGATTAAGAATCATACCACTGCATACAAATGAAGTTGCATGATGAGTGCTCCGTTCTTGTCTGAGCAAGCAGATTAGATTCTGATAACACATTATAGAGCGACTGTAATGAAAAAACACTGTGTATACGTTCTAATTTCCTGAAGATTTCCTGTTCTGATGAGGCACTTACTCCAGAGGTCCATTGCACCAGCTGGTGACATGATGGCAGTGTCATTTAGATTTCATATTAATACCTAATGCAGCAGACAGTGCAATTTTCCGCATGTTTAATGAAAGTGCCTTGTGAAAATGATAGTTCAGCATGAAGCTTCAGTGCATTATTAGTTTGTGTGGAAGACTCATCCCTTCCAGCAACATCGTTGAGAAGCTGGAGGTGCAAATAATTGTGGTGGAACCCGATATAAAGAGCATCAAATCACCCTCCAGACTCTTGTTATCATTGATTGTGGTTAAAAACAGATTTTTGGATAAGCTTCATCCTTAACTGGTGTCTGCATTTTAATACCCAATTCTCTTTCATCCACCACTCTTTGAGGTCTCTTGAAATATATTTGCTCTTTGCATAGAATATCTAATGGGTCACTGTGTGCTTAGAGTGTGCTTCAAAGAATGACACTAATATTTACTTTATTGTAATAGACTTTCTTTGTATGGAGCTTCCATTGCCCGGCTTTGTTGTGAATGTTACTATGGTTCAGTGCAAGCTTGCTGTCAAGTCAGGCAATAGATTGCTCTATTTTGCCTCTGTCAATGTAAAATCATCATTATTGAGTTTAGATTTCGGTCACCATCAGTATCAAAAGGATACTTGTAATTTAACTTAATTCCTGAAGTGCCCATAAGGTGTCAATTCTGGGTACCATACAGTTCTATAAGTTCTATAATAATTCTGGGTGTGTAAAAAGACAGTACACAGAGAGGAAAATTGTTAAATACTGCAGAAGGTTTCCCTGTTTGACTTAAAAACAGATGGGTATAGAGGTTCTTCCTTTAGGATTGAACTTTAACGCATTGAAATGGGATTTGTATTACATTAATTTTCCTTTTGCTTGAATTAAGTTCCTTATGCAAGGATCACAAGAGCGATTAGGATAATGAAAATCTTTCAGCTCATTTGATTTCATCCTTGCAGAATATCCACCCTACCATATCTCATTTCAGTATTGCACTGTTCATTGAGTATGTTCAGTATCTTGGTTTCAACTACCCCTCCTGGTGTTGGTCTTAAAATTGCTCGTCATAATCCTGAACCTGTGTGGTATCTTGTCCTGCTGCCTTGGTATATCTGACAGTATGCTCATAAACCCCCCAAAAAAGCATATGGGGAAAAGGCAGGGAAGGATGCAAAACTTCTTAAAGAGCCAACCCAGGCAAGATGGGCCAAATGACTTTCAACTATGCTGAAACACTTTATGATTCTAAAATCTACCATAGAAGATCAATACACTTAGAACTTGTACGGCGATGTTCTGAGCAAAGGGATGCAACAGTAGTTAGGAGATCTGTTTGCCTTGGTAATTCAGACAACTGAGTGAGAAATAACTTTTTTTCAGTACTGTAAGTGAAGACGCTGGATTTGTTTTTCTTGTTCCCTTATTCATGAATAAAGTATGAGTTGATTGTTTACCCTTAAGAGGAAACCTTTTACCTCACTGCCTGGCCAGGGTAGCCTGAAATTTCACCTGCTCTTGCCCTGTTTGTGGCATAATTTTGTCTTTGGATGTCCTCTTGACGTGAAAGACCTTTTACAAGTGTAAGTTGTTGTTGATGGGCACTCAATCCACGACCGCTTGTGGGGCACTGCTGTGCGCAATTGGCTGCTGCATTTCACCCACAAAGTATACAGTCAATTCAATTTACAGTATATTCTGAAGCACTTTGAGACATCTCGATGACCTGATGAGGCGCTATATCAGATGCAAGGATTATTATTATTGTTATTTTACCATTGAGGAGAGTCAGCTGATTCATGCCATGGGTTACATTTTGTACAGTGAAGAATAGGGTGGGAACCCTAGTGGAGCAGGAGCCAGTTATATCCCCACATCTGTTACCCTGAGTGAACTTACATAAGAACATTAAGAATTAGGAGCAGGAGTAAGCCATTCAATAAGATCACAGCTGATCTATTCTAACTCCACCTACCCGCCTTATCCCCATGATCCCTTTATCCACAAGAAATTTATCAATCTCAGTCTTGAATATGTTGAAGGACTGAGCATCTACAGCCCTTTGGGGTAGAGAATTCCATAAATTCACTACTCTCTGAGTGAAGAAGTTTTTCCTCAACTCAGTGCGAAAGGACTTACCCCTAATTTTAAGGTTGTGTGACCTTCTGACTTGTGTGCCTTCGAGCATCAGGAAGCTAACTCTTTCTTAATTACAGAACAGAGTCACCCCATGAAACATTCAGAAGCCAACCTGGACAGATTCACGTTTGAAATGGAAGGAGGAAATATCTGCCTAGGATGCCCAGAGCCTTGGGACATCCTTCTGACCTGAAAGGCGCTGTATAAATGTAATTTTTTGTTGTTGGTGGTACTTAGGGCAGAATTCTCCCTCGCCATCCTATGTCGCTTGGCGAAAATTCCATTCTTGTCAAGAGAGCAGAGAATTTGCAATGGTCTGCATGGCCCCTTAATAAAGTGAACTGGATCAGCTGACTTGACTTCTATCTTCTTATAATTTGATGGCACGCAGGAAATGGATGAATGGGCCCAATTTGCAGTTGAGTGCTTCTTAACAGGATTCCAAACTAAGGCATTGCAAACACTGGCAAGCTTCCTGCTGCTTGTCCAATGGGGTCCACCCCAACAGTTAGGGCTTTGGTTCGCAGGGATAATGGGAGCCAAGAACTGAAATACACCCTGACCTGAAATAAAAATGAATAATGCTGCAATGCGTAACCAATCAATCAGCACTTGAAAGACAGGCTAATCCTTTGGATGTGACTTTTCCTAGGATGGCAGTGATATGGCTGGAGACTTTACCCACCACCCCATAATAACATTAATAATCCTTGCATGTTGTGAAAACATCTCAAAAGTTTTTTTAATGTAAAGTGTAGCAACTGTGTATTTTGTGGACAAACACAGCAGCCAATTCTAGACAAATACAGCAATGTACCGCAAACAGCCAGGAAGTGAATGACCAATTCTATCTGGAGGGTTATGGCCAGGATGCAAGGAGAAACACCCTTGTCTTTTTGAATAGTGCCATGGGATCTTTAACGTCCATTTGAACAGGCAGATGGGCCCGCCATTCAATGTTTCATCTCAAAGGCAGCAACTCCAATAATACAGAACAATACCACCCCTCAACACTGCATTGGAATATAAGGCTTGAACCTGCTCAGGAGTGAGAGTGCAACTATGCAGGCTGACAAGATAGAGAAGGTGAATCAGGAACAAAGCTTTTCATCTCTCATTCTCTCTCAGATGATGAAGGACCCAGATGTGTTTATCTAGCATTTTCTGTCCTCATTTCAGATCTTTTTTTCCCCGTATCTTTACAATTGCAAATGGTTCGATTGAAGCCGTTTTCATCACCAGTTTTGATGTGATGAATGGATGCAAATAAAAACTTTTTTTTAAAAATCAAAATGATTGCGGCAAAACCATTGAGGCGATTCAACTAGTTGATATGATGGAGAGTTGATTTTTAGTTTCTGTGGGTCAGTAATCTTCTCATGCCTCATTTACCTTCTGTTCTTATGCACTTAACTTCTCTAACTTGGGTGTCATATGGAACGTATGTTAGAAACGTCACTGCCTATAAATCTGAACTGGACTCGCTTGCAACTGACCCTGTTCAATTCATTCCATCACTGCCTGAATAATGAAGGCAGAATTAAGTAGAGCACTAGCTCATTTCTGAAGAAACCTCAATTTTAGCTAATGCTTGCAGGCTCATTTATCATGTGAACCAGGTATCTTTATACAGGACTGCTGAATGTACAGGAATGGTTATAAATATAACATGGCTGGGCAGACTCGCTTTGTTTTCAACAGAATTGCTGCATCAACATTTGTGTCCTACTTTTCTTGACACAACATAAATTGCATTATTGTGATAGTTCCCAATTGTTGTGCCAAAAAAGCAATATGTGCTTGGGTGCTTGGAACTGTATTGGACCAAGAATTGATCCGCAGGATGGAGGATGGCAGGGGGATAAAATAAGAAAAACAGAGTTAACAGGAAAGACAGCAGAGCTGCCAGGAGAACACAGTAATAAAGCATGTGTTTTTTATAATGGGAGATGATCTAAGACAACCTTTATATTTTTTCTAAGTAACAACTGTTCTATTATTGTAAAATATGGAATATGGAAAGTATTGTAAAATATGGAACACAAAATCTGGAGCACAACCACTGCACCACAAATATTGTATCTCAGAGCAGTGCTCCAAGATGCTATTCCTGGGTGAAGGATGCTCTATAGATGCAAGTTGTTATTGTACCTGCATTGCTATGTAAGCAAACCTCTTTCCAGATTTTTTTTGTAACTGAGAATGCTACATAAACAAATCTTTGTGTAATAATCTACAAAGATAAAAGAACGAACATGTCGTGTGAACGTGTGATGATGTGTTGCCTAATCGTTGCTTGTGTTTCTTCATTCTAGGGGCACTCTACACATTTAGTCAGAGGTTACCTTCAGATGTCCTGGTAGATATGAAAAGCTACCACCACAGATTGAAGCGACAGCAGCCACCAGGGTCACCCAAGTCAGTGGATACAAACCGTGCCAGTCCAGAGCAGGACTTTGAAGATCCCACTAAGATCTTTGATATTCTACCTGAAGATGACAATGCCAATGATACACAGATCGAGGTATGTTTTTGTTTCAGGAGTTGGAGGCCAAGCTATCTTATAAAGCCATAGAAATTTAGAACACAGAAGAAGGCCATTTATCCCATCCATGTTAGTGCTGGCTGAAAGATCCAGCTGTTTATTCCTTCTTCCTGCATTTTTCCTAAATCTTATTATATTTCTTTTTTTCAGGTATTTTTCTAATTCGCTCTTAAAAACTGACAGATTCTGCCTCAACTATTGTTCGAAATAAGGCCCTCAGCATTCTAACAACCTTATGTGTAAAAAAGAACTCTTCTCTTTCTTTTTTACTTTCTGTTCTTATTTTATATCTATGTCCTCTAGTTACGGACTCACCAGACAGTTGAAATAATTTCTCTTTGTTTATTTTTATCAAATACCCTCTTCATTTTAAAACACCAATCAGGTCTCCTCTCAACCTTCTCGGTTCCAGGGAAAATAGCCCCATTTCTTCCACATTCATAAACAAATGCTCCAATCCTTGGTATCATCCCTCCCCTTTTAATTCCCTCCACCGCCTCACCCCACCCTACCTCTGTGACCTCCTACAACCCTCCCAACCCTGCCGTTCTCTTCGCTCAGTGTGCACCAGCCTGCTTCGTGTTCTCTGCCACACTATCAATTGGTGACCGTTCAGCTATTATGCCCTCGCTCCTTAAAACTCCATCCTGGAGTCTCTCCGACTTGTTCCTTCCCTCCTAACTTTAAAAGACCGCTTTAAGATGCACCTTTTGACTACGCTTTCCATCATCTTTCCCCTCACCACTCCCTTTAGCTCCCACTACCAACTCGATTGCCCAGCCTGCAGTGTTGAGTATTTTGATTCACCCTCATGTAAAAGGCATTCTATGAATGTTACTTATATTGTACCATCCAAGAGAATTTCCTCCACACCTTCTCTATGCCCTTGACATCTTCCTGTAATGGGTGCCTGAAATCCGTGATTATTTGAGCCACATAGACCAATAGGTCCCAATTTTGAGCCTTTAATGGACTGATCTCAGCTGGGATAATGATTGGCTTGGTTACCTCTGTATTCCAGGCTAGGCAGAGGAAAAATCAGCTTTGATTCCTGATCCTGATCATTATCCAGTGACCTCTCGGATGAGGACAGGATCAGGCACAGCCTATTAATCTGCTGGCACTTACTGTCAGGGCTCCTACATAAAGAATAGATATGCAGCCAGTGTCCAATGGAACTGCACTCAACCACATTTCAGTGCTTTCAAGAGAGGACAAAGGAGAGAACACTAAGTGGAAATGTGGATGTATTTTCACCATTGCTGCTGCTGCTTTCCTATTCTTTACCCCCGATATAGTAGCAATAATAATAATAAAGTTTGCATTTGATATTGCATCTTATCACGTCGTCAAGACATCTCAAAGCACTTCACGTGAGGCGAAAACCCATGTATATGTACTGTACTTAGTTCAATCTGCAGTTAAAGCAGCAAGTCTGTTAAAGCAGTAAGTGTTCCCAGCTGTGGATTTCCCAGTTGATACACTTGTTGAAAATGAAGAATTCCATTGTTTTGAAGTACAGTGTGTGCATTCATTATTTTGCAAGCAATTACAAAGCAATTGGAGAAAGCTGGTTCATGTGGTTTCTATTTGATAGTGGTAGCTACACCTGCAGAAATGTGTGACATTTCATCTAATTCTACCTTCGAGTTTCAATTGTGAGAAGGAGTTAAGACTTATGTTGTAATAATTATCGTACGGACCACATATCTTGATACACCTAAACCATCACCCTGCTGAACAGTATCTAAACTAAACCACTGCTGGAATTTGCTAGCTAGAAACATATGCTTGCCATTTCACTGACAGGCAAGCTTCCTGCAGTTTGTACAACTGGACCTGCTCTACCCATCAGATCATTGGTTTCCAGGGTTAACAGGAACTGAGTGGGAGGAATCCCTGTCCCCTGTGACTGCTTTTCTCCTCCAAGTACTGCTAATAAGCAAGGCTGGCTGCTCTGTCATCAACAGTGCCCTGGTGTACGGTGGACCTGCCTGGCTCAGAGGAACCAGATTACTGAGGATTACTGTCACAGAGGATCACTCAATCCCAATATTCCATTGCCAGGCAAGTCACTTTAGAACCAACTTAGTCTTGAAGAGACCCCGCTTATGACCCCACAAGGAGAACAGTATAGACCAATAGATATCGACTGTCACCAAATTGAATGTTCATCTCCCCACCCCTTCCAGACTTTGGTACGACTTGGAAGTCATTGCAGTTGCAGTCAATCCCCAAGGGTGAAAAATTCTTCTGGGCTCAGATCGCAACAAATTTGGCAATGTGAGATTACAATCTTTCCAGGATTCCACTATAAGTGATTGTTGTCAAAGGCTCTATGCTTAGTGTCAAGAGCATCTTCACGGCCCCTTCAGTTTGAAGAGAACTTGCTCTGGAAATGAACAGGTGCAAATTTGACTGCAATATCTCTTGTCTCTCAATTAACCAAAGAATGCACATTGGTCCAGTTTCCAGTTTTGTTTCCCCAAACACTCAGTCATACTGAAAGAAATGAACTCACCAGGGTCAGTAGTGTTACTGACCTTGAAAATGTGCATTTATAATGGAAATGTGCTCCATATATTCTTGTTGTTTCTGCTTTCTGTGGTCAATTAGGAATTATCTGTACGCAGTTAATCTAACCCTTAATGCTTTACATCAAAGTGCACAGCATTAACTGCACAAAACTGCCTATCACTGGATCTACGATTTATGCCTATTATTATTTGAAAGTTAGCAGGTTTGTTTGATAAGAGGGTGGGGAGGGAGAAGTGAGACCGAATTTCCTGCTAGTGTGATTACGATACCTTTCAAAAACATTGGTAAATGCTGGTATAGGCATTCTGATTGTTTGGATTCCGTGAGCTGAATGAAGAGAGCGAATAAGCTGTCTTTTGCTGGTGGAATTCAAACTGAGTCAAAGTCGATATCCCTAGCCACTGGAGGCCAGCGAGCACAGTGAAGTGAGGGCACATGATAGGAGAGTAGGGGCATCTATGCGCACACATGTTACAATATTAGCATTCCTTTGTGGAGAAGATTTTTCAAATCATTCCTGTTTTTTAGGGAAAAAGTTTGTCTGAACTGTGATTGATTGATGTCACTGTAAGGGAACAGTGTGTGCACATAACAACTTGTTTTCCAGTAAAAGTGTTTGACCTTGTGTTCATATGTCCACAGCTGCTCTTCCCATTCCCTCCTCCGGAACTTCCGACATGTATCTCTAAGTCACTTAATAAACACAGAGAAGCTCAAACAGAAACCATTCAGAGCCAATAATTAAGGAAGGAGAAACGGCCATTTGGCCCATTCCTTCCACTGATGACACATGTATCAAAGCAAGCTACCCAGCCAGTTATATAATTCCCAGAGTGAGATAGCTAACCTGCAATCGAAATCTCAAGAATTGAAATGCTTTGTGAAGTTCCTCTCTGAACCTTGTAATAAATCTGATGATCCTTCAGGAAAGCAAAACGATTTGTATTATCATTCAACCCTAACTTGCTACGTTCCACCGCAATCTCAGTACACTGTACTCTGACTACACTTATTTAAATACATTGATATGTTAATACATGTTTCCATACAAAATGCACAGTCACTGCACATTATAGTAAATTGATTTGAGATATCTTCTCAACATGAAAAAGATTATTTTTTTATTAATATCAATAGTATTAGCAACAGGAATAGCCATGGGTTTTAGTAAAGGAAGTGAGATATGCAACATGTTGAAGTCCCCGAAGTTAAATTCAACGTAAAATAGTTTTTATTTTGTCTCAGATCATTTATAGGCAGTGTGCAGTTTACACACAGACAGCAAATATTCAGCAGCCCTGAAATAAGGCTTGTTTCACCTTCTTTAAAAAGGTCAAATGAGGACAGCTGGCTCCTAGACTTAAATTGGCTGCTTTAGGAATTTTATAATTTAAAATCAATTGCAAGGCTGTATAATAAATTGGACAAACAGAAAAGATTGGAAAAATATGCAGCAGAAACTATTAGTGTTGTGTTTTATGAGTCGGGGTACCTGTGTACAAATAGATCTTTCCAGCTGAGCAGGTGAACAAAAAAGGATGTTGTTGTGCTTTAACGACAAATTAACTTCACTCATATGGAGATTCGTTCCGCAATCACTGAACTGGGGGTTTAATTTTGCCACAGAATGATACTCGCCTTATCCTTTCTGTGCTTCAGTATTAATACTCTACTCTAAATTTGCCCCTGAGTTCCATATGTTTGGTAGAATTGCCTGTGTTTAAAGTCAGAGATATACTGCATTTTTGAAAATATTTCTCATAAACCTCCACAGTTCCTGGGATTCCCACTCACTTTTTTCAAGTTAAAGTCCACAGGGAGTATTGCCCTGAGGACAGGCCTGTGGCAGTAAGTAGCTATGCCTTTATCTAACACTACCAGTACGAAGTGACTGGTTTCAACTCATTTTTTAACTGCTGTATTGTAGCATTTTTGTATCTGAAATGAGGAATACAATCAGCATCAATAGACATGATGAGCCAGTTTTTTTCCAACATTGTTTCTCTCTCTCTCACTCTCTCTTACTGTCTGTCACCACCTTCCATCATCTCAATGCGTTCAATTCAAAATACGATTCCAGCTGTTTCAAGGGAGAGATTGTTTTTAAAATTAAATTGACTGGACACAGACTTTATTGTCAACCCAGATTAAGGAATCAGACCTCCCCAAACACTGGACCATTCGAATACATGTGGATGTATTCTAATGAAACAAAACAGTTGCCATTCACAGGATGAAGCGCCATCAAATATATGGATAAAATTACGGAAAGGCCTTTCTTACCAATTAGTCCATGAGCCTCCGCCCATTCTAATCCTCTTGCCTATTCCCCTCTAATACCTTCTCCCCGCACCAAGTTTACTCTTGAATACATTGATGCTTTCTGCTTCACCCACAGCTTACAATACAGAATTGCACAAAATATAAGGGCTCATTCAAAA